GGAGACACTGACATCCTTAGCCAGGAAACCCTACTGTGCCTGCAATTCCTTCCACCGCTCATGGCTCAGCCACGGCCTGAGCCTCTTGGTCTGACTGTATCAGAGAAAGGGTGTTGGACCCTGGGGGTGGAGCATCAGGGGGCTCTGGGGATATCTCCGGCCCCAACTCCAGCTCTGCATTCAGCTGCTCCAGCTCCCCCTGATCCAGCAATTCAAAGTCCTCAGTGGTGAGTGCCTCTTCTTCCTTAGGGGCAGGCAGGGGCTGGGGTGAGTTCTGGGAAAGAGGTGGGAGCACTGAAGGGGAGGGAACCAGGTCACTTTCAGCAAGGCAAAGTAGGGGTGACAGGGTGCTGGAGGGAGTGGTGGGATCACCACTCATTGCCTCTGGGCTCAGCGTCTCCACTGGTGCTCCAGGGGAGAGCTTCACTTCATCTGTGGGAGAGCCTGCCCCATTGAAGTGCGTGTTCACAAAGTGAAGTGGAGATGAGAGCCGAAGCAATGTCTCCTTGGCTGCCACAACTTCCTCCTCCTCCAAGTCCAGGTCCTGCCTTGAAAGCGCCTGAGGGGAGCCCAGCAGGTCTTCGGGAGGGGCCAACTCTGACTCCTCTCCCTCTCCCAGCTCCCGGCTCAGGGCCTCCTCTGGCTCACTTGGCAGGCTCTGCTGGTCCAAATCTGTGCAGAAAACTAAGCATCAGGAATGGGCCTGCTGTTCTGAATGGCCACAAAAGGCTGACAGGCTCAAAGATGACAACTCAAGAAATGGGATGCTGGACCAAGCCTTAGGTTAAAGGCCTTTAAGGAGCTTGAAGTAGAATTAGAGGGTCAGTTCCCCCAAAGAAAACATGGGGGCAACAATCAGAAAGTGCAGCCAGCACCCCATGACAGGGAACAGGAAGACTGTGAGGGGCAAAGGGCTTCCCTACCCTCTGAGACATCAGTTAGTTGTGGAGTTGTGGCCCGGGATACAGAGAAGCCACCACTCTCCAAGATAGACGCCTCCTCATCTGACAGCTCTGAGTCTGTAATGGCCAAAGCCAGTGCTGTTTTCTTCACATCCACCTGCAGGAGAACCAGGATGAACACAACAAGTGAAGAAATAAGAGAATCAATTTTCTAGGAGCACCCCTCCACGGGCTCCCACCCCCTTGAGAGGTGGCTATTCTAGAGTAGAGACATTCCCCCAGCCTTCAACTTGACACCCCATCTCCCTTGGACCTCACCACTGGGGAGAAGCCAGCCAGTTCTGCCTCGCTTTCGCTCTCTGTCTCTGCCAGTGGCTCATCATCTCCGGGGGGTGCATTCTTCCCCTGCCGCTCTAGAGAAGCAAGAGCAGTAGGGCAGTGACCAAGCAAGGACAGTGGTGGGGGACAAACACAGCCAAAGGACTGGACAGTATCTAAATTCCAGGGCGTTTCATGAGCCATAAGCCAAAGCCCTCCCCCCTGGGTTACAGAAGTGCCTTACTCCTCTTGTCGTGTTTGTGATGCAGGGCATCAGCTTCTGCCTTCATGCTGTAGTCCAACTGCATGAGCAGGGGCTCGAGGCGAGTGTACATCCTCTGGATCAGCTCATGATAAACCACCAGGGGCCACAGCAGGATACTCAACACTAGGGGTTAGAGCATCCACTCAGAGCTCCCTATGCCTATTTCCTAAGGGCCCTTATTCAAACAGGAAGGGCTGAAGAAAGGACAAAATCCTCTTCCCTTCACATCCATTGCCCTCCTCCCCAGATGACTCTTCCACTGTTACTAACACTATAACATACCCTGGAAATCTCTGTAAACAGGTAATGGGAGCAGAGAAAAAGCACAGTCCTCTCTTTAGGTCAGCATAGGAAAAGAAGACAAGGAGAGGGCTTTGGGAAGGGAAGGGTTAGACCCTACTCACAGACAATGTAGGAAATCATAATCCCTGGAACATAGTGCCCCAGCACAGCCAACACAGCACAGCCGGAGCAGACTCGAGCACAGAACTGCAGAGAAGAGTGGAGTCTAAGAACTGTGGAGTGAGGTATGCACCCCACTCATCTGGGTTAAGAAATTACTGCTCAGCTGGTGGAAGGAGGGGTATGCCCTCTAGGAATGCGGTGATCCAGTCTAGTCAAGAGAATGCCCAAGACCACCAATTCAGGAAGTTTGCAATAGACATCACCAAACACCTACAATTCACACTGGTCTGCTTTGGAAGGAAATAGTGTCAGAACATCAGAGCTTATTCCCTGAGGCGGAATGCCTCCTCTACCAGGCGACTAGCTGCGAATGTTGCCTCAAGAAGGTACCAGGTCTCTTCCTTCAGCCTCCAGAGAATACCAGTCACTCCTTCCCACTATTTCCTCATAGTGTAGAGAACTGTTGTATGATGTAGGGGAGATTACCTGAGCTGGATTCTGCTTCTTGTACTGCAGCAGCTCCTGCAGGTGAATCTGGAAGGTGAGCCAGCTCTCAGCCAGGTATCTGCACAACTCGGGCACACTCAGCAGGTGCGGCCGGGCGCCTGACCCCGCACCCTCACTGGGGAGACATGACATGACCCCTGGAGGCCTCAGACCCCAGCTTCCTAGGAACTCAAATCTCTCTGAGAATGCCAATGAGATCTTTAGTCTAAGGAAATAGATAACCCCGCTTCCCAAAGGAAGGTTGTCCTGATCCTGGGAAGCAAAGCCCAGAGCTCCCAAAACCTCTTCCCCAAAAGGAACAGGAACGAACACCTACATAGGAAACCTAGGACCAACTTCATTACTAGTCCAATCACTATGCTGGGGTCTGCGCCTACAGAAGCTGCAGTGTTGCCCTGCACCATGGTGACACTGGTACTAATGTAAGACAGGATTTGAGCATTTGTCTTCAAGAAATGGCCTGCACTCACCTGTCGGAGTGTGGCTCCTCTGGGGATGATGCTATAGAAAGAGGAGGGGGACAAGTTACTGAGTGGTATGGGCTCTGGGAGACACACCCCAAGGCAGACATAGTTGCCCCTTCTCTGCTGTCCCAGAGCACTTTCTTCAAACGCCTATTGCAGAGAACATTACATAGTTTGTCACTCGCACGTCTGTCTTCTTTAGACTTTACCCTTTGCAAACACAGGAACCACATCTCATGTTTACATCCAAACAACTCACACACAGCCTGGCACCTAGTTGCTCCAAAAGGCCTATTAAATAAATACATGGATAACAAGAAAAACGAGAGCTAACATTCATATAATTTCTATCACAAGCGAATCTCTACACATAACATGTGTTAACTAATTTAATCTCTACCTCCTGATGAAATGAGTTCTACCACCCGTTTTACAGATGAGGAGACTGAGGCAAACAGAGATTGACTGGCTTTTACAAGGTCACACACATGGTAAATGGCTAAGCAGGCAATGAAACCCAGGCAATCTGACTACAGAATCCATAATCTTAACTACACTCAAGAGTAACACTAATTTTGAGAAAGGAGTAAATCTCGATTTCCTAACTGGGGGAGTGCTGGTGACTGGGAGGCAGGTGGCCTGCTGTATACTGCCCTCACCATTCAACCCACCCAGCAGGGTCAGCCACAAAGCAAGTGCACGATGCGGCTTGCTGAATGAAGGAAATTACACTCACCTGAGACGTCAGGGAGGAAGCGAGGCTGCCAAAGATCCAGCAGAAAATAGGCCAAAAGTGAGATGCTGAGCAGGAAAAAAGGCCGGAGGGACGACGAAGACAGCAACCTTAGGGAGAGACAGGCACCTCAGCGGTGAGTGGATGAGAGGCTCCCGCAGCCATCGCAAAAGGAGGAAAAGACGGGGGAACGGGAACCTCCACGCCTAATTCGAGACTCGAAAACAGGACGAAGGGGGCAACCCAGGCGGACAAGAGGCTTTAAAAACTAGGAGATGGGTCATGTCCCAGGACAAGTATCAACCCCAGAATGGGGAAGGGTACCCCGGCCCCTCCCGCCCCCGCTCTCCCGCGCAGCCCAGCCCCGCCCCCTCCTCCGCGGCCGTTACCAGAAGAGGCCGTTGAGCGCGGCCGCCGTGACCAGGCTGTGCAGCGGCTTCTC